GAGCCAAGGTGTGAAACTGGGTGTGGGCCCCAATCAGCCAGAGTTTCAGGCATAGCTGGACTGGCCATCGGGCATACCGGGCATTTGCCCGGTGGGCTGCTGGCGATTTTTTGTTTTTATGGGCCGATCGATTTTTTTTTTTTTTTTGGAAGGGTATAAATAATGAAAGGTGTTGGATTGGCCAATTGGTCATGATCGACTCTGGGCTGGACCAATTACAGCCGAGGAGGTCGGCTGCACCCTCCCCCTTGTTTAGCAATCTTATAGACGAACTAAAGAAAATGGAGAACAAAATGGAAAGGAGGTGCAGAAAAAAATTAGGGTAAAAAAGAAACAAGCCCTTCAGGCAGATGCTGCCAAATGTGTAAAAATAACTGAATTGTTTGGCGGTAGCTATGGCAGAGCTTCCACAGATTTAGCAACATCAGCAAGTGGTGGAGGCCAGCAGGTGGATAAGGGAAAGGGGAGGCAAGAGGAGGAGAGACCCGAGGCGGCCGCCGGTCATAGTGGCAGAGGAACTGAACTTCAGGTAAGAAGTTATGACCTGCTGTCTGTCTGTGTCAGATATAAACTAAGTTTAGTTGTAGTTTGTTTTTGTTGTGCTGACTTTTTACAGTCGCTTAGAATAACTGGTACTGCTACTAGCTAGCATGACGGAGTTTAAATACTGCTGGGCGGGTGCTATGAAGTTACTGATAGTACATTTTATTTTATGCTTAAGGTTAGTTTCTCAAACTCCTCAAAATCTTAACAAATTGTGCCAATCCTTACATGTTGCACCAGGCTGATTTATCATCAAAAGTGGAGAAGTCTGTGACAGAGGAGACAGAAGAGCAGCAGAGAGAGATGGAGAGATGACTTTATGTCATCCGTGAGGGATGCATTTGACATGTGTTTCACATATTATAGCCCAACAAGTTACTTATAGCAATTTAAATACGAGCAATCAGTTTTTGGCAAATACCGGAAATCAGTTTTTGGCAGACAATCACTTTTTGGCACAACACCGGCTATTGCAGTTAATAATACAACAGCTTCTTGCCATTTTTTGTGTTTCTTTTTATCGCTGTGTAACTGAGTTCAATTGAAAGCCTGCATGTGCTAGTACCTCTTGCCACAAGTTCCCAGAATCCTTTGCGATTTTACCCCTGAATGACGTCACATTTTTGGTGGGCCGGTCTCTAGTCAAAATGCCCGGGCCGATTTTTTGTCCCAGTCCAGCCCTGGTTTCAGGTGAGCTCATTGTGAAACCTGGCCCCACCTTATCATGCAAATTCCTGAGATCAGATGGCCCAGGATGTGAGTGGGCGTCTGGACTTCAAGAAGCCAGATGCTTCTCTATTGTACTGGTGGCAGGAAAATACGGTTGGTTAGTGTTGCTACAGGAAGACAGACGTATGCGTGTTGTAAACACGAGCATTCATCTCCATCTACTCCGTCCTGCTACTAAAGCGACGCGGAGACTAACTCAATATTTACCTCTTACACGTCTGCTCCTTCCTCTGTCAGCAGGGTAATCGCCAAGAAACACTTCCAAGAAATTAGCAGCCACGTCTGGAGGAACAAAAGGCTGGAAAGATTGAATTTTGTCCCCATCAGTTAGAGTTTCCATTTACAGATTAATGATGTGAAATAAATCCAAGCTCAAATTTGTGTGGGAACGTCAGCCTTTTCACACACAGGAAAAATTCCCTGCCGTCATCCTCGCTCAAAGTCTGTTGATGGACTGAAAGAGGAGGACAAGCGATCTGGGGCGAGGTCATCTGCCCACCCATACACTCTCATCCTGCCCAGCACCTCCACTTTGGTAAAATTATAGAGTCAGACTCTGAAATGACGAGTGAAAGGACATTTACATTTCCTGCTGATCTTTGAGGACTCCTCTGACCTGAGAACATGGGCTCGTAGCAATTCCACGAGTGAACAAATTTACACTGATATTCTGGCTTTTCTGCAATTTTTCACAGTTTTCAGAACTGGAACAATTCTTATCTCACCACAGAATTATGATAGAATTAGCGTATCAGTACAACATAATTAAGAAATTTATGTTTGCCTTATCACCTGCTGTTACGGCAAACTTTGTCTGATGAGTTGTTGTGCGAGGCAACAACTCTGCTTTCTTTATTTAAACATCAGCCTCATGGTGGTCCTGCAGACGCTGAAGAGGAGGAATGATATAATGGTGAAAACGGACTCTGCTGTTCTCTTTTTAGATGGATGAGCTGCTGCGTGAAGAAGGCAGAGCCTGATTCAGCTTACTGATGAAAGGAAAAGCAAACGCTCAAACATACTGAGGGGAAATTTATCAATGAGCAGGATGTGTGGTGAATATATAACAGCAGCTCTTATTGTTCTGTACAGACGCGGTACGATAAATGCTCGAAGCACAGAAATCTACTTTGTGCTTACATGTTTTCACCAAAAAAGATAAAAGCATATTTTCCCTCAGCTGTAGGTTATATCTAGCCTAATATCAGCCTGTGGGCGGAGCATTTGTGCCTGACTTACGGACGCCTTCAGAGCCTCCGAGGATTATGGGTGAAAAAGCTAAAGAGCTGTACTGGATGCAACAATCGTGCCGTGGTGAGGATATTCAGTTTCCAAGTGGCACTGCAGGAGCCTTCACCACCTTTCTATTGGCCGATCTTCTCTGAGATGATTTTGTCCCCGGTTTAAAGACCAGTGGTTGTTGACATTTTGGATATTATATATGCTGTAAAAACTTACAAATGTGGGAAAACCAACTTCAGAAAGAAATAAAAACAATATCAGCTAACAGATATTCAAGTCCATCCAACCTCTCCAGGGTGGCGGGTGCTGGAGCCTATCCCGGCTAGCTCAGGGCGCGAGGCGACAGGTGGCCAGCCTGTCACAAGGCTGAGACACAACCACTCACAGCTGTGGGGATTCAAACCCAGGACGTTCTTGTTGCTGTGCTTACTGCGCTGCCTGTATTTTTTCAAAATGTATTTATTTTAAATAATGCTAAGAGAAATATTAATCTTGTACTAACATCAAGATCACAGTGTGTTGAAACAAATAGTTTTATTAAATCCACAGATGGATGATCAAGTAGTGCCGCTGGTGTCGCAGAGAGAAACAAGCTGGCATCAGAGCTTTGACACAGCAGCTGCAGCAACAATGGACACCAAGACAAAATGCTCTTTTTGAAAGGCTGATGAAGGAGGTGTGAGGAGTGGCGCTGGCATTGCAAAATATCACAATACTGTCAAGCAGAACTCTGATTCACGTCCACAGTGGGAGCCTCGTTTTAGCACTGCGTTTTTTTATTTATGTTTCTTTTTCATTCACTGTGGTTACAACAAACAGCTCCATTACAACAAAGTGGACCTAATTTATCATGCCTTTTTCTATACATAATATATGCATGTAACAGTAACAATATACTGTTACTGTAAAAGCTTCGTTTCAGACAGTTTTCTTCTCTATCTGTGGCTCTCTGATGTCAAACACATCCGATATGATTGATGTAGTCTTCTCATGATAGTACTATCTGCCTTACATTTATGAGACAGCGAATCAGAAGACAGTTAGTTAAAAATGTCAGACAGTGCATGAGCAGAGAGACTGCACAGAGTCCCAGCACGACATAAACAAGGTTTCATTTGAACTGTAAATTATGCCAGGTCACTCAGGTACGAGTGGAGGAAGAATAATGTGATACTGGCACGTTCCTTTAACCACGCACAGTGAAACATGATGCCGTTCATTTCTATGTGACAGATTTGAGCCCTGGTTTGTATATATATCATAAATGTGGCCTCAGCTATGAGCACTTCAGGAGCTCTTCCAGCCCCCCTGACCTCTAACCACACCCTGAACAGTGATGTCAGGTCAGATGTTCGTTGCCCTGACACTTAGATCAAACCTCGCCAGAGCGCTTTGTTCCTGCGTCGCTGTCTTTGTGTTTAATTACCCTTCAAATCACCTACATCACTCAAACCTGTGCAGCAGCAGCATGCTGTCTGAGACATCCTGAAGACTGTGAGGCATCATTTCCATTTACACAACATGACATCACAACTTGCTCATATTCCCTCTTACAGCACATCAATCAGCCAATGAGGGAACAATTTGCCCCAGAATATACCAGCAGCCTGAGGCGAGCTTACCACAGCTCCTGCTCTGAAAGCAGACAGGCAGCTGTTCCAGATGTGGACTTCTGCAGAGAGACTGAATGAACTATTCCCAAACTTTTGCTGATTGATTTATAACACCTGAGGGCAGCGTGTGCTTGTCTGGGTTGGTTCTAACATCTTGGTGTTGCACATTCAGTAAACAACAAGCCTCGTGAGCCGGGTGGTTAAATCCTTTGATTTCACATTGTGCTCGAGTCTAAAATAACTAAAAGATGAGCAGAAAGGAAAGATGAAGATGCCACATGTGGCCTATAAGTTGACATCACTATTATTCCCAGCACGAGGCACTGCTCTAATTTTAGAAAAGATGAAAGTCCCACACATTTCTTTGGAGCAGTGCTGAGATGCAGTTTATTAGAAAAGGCTGGCTGTGATCTAAATAGTGTCAGTGATGGAGTGATATTTCCCAAGCTGGGGCCGATAAACAGGAAGCACTGAGAGACAGATACAGGATACAACACTGCTGCTATGAATATCCACCCTGACGGTGTTGGCACCTTGTTTGATCATGACTGGAAAAATCTGCTTATTTTTAAAGTGGCATAATTAAATCTGGAAATCAGCAGGACTCGCTATAAAGCAATGGGTTCTTCCTATTCACAGTAAAGCTTTGGTTGCAAAGAAAACACTTCAGGAGCGCAACGCTCACATTTTGGGGAGGTGGACAAGTTTCGAGACAAGTTGCCAACTTGTGAATTTGACTCATGCAGTGAAACTGTGGAGCTACCCTTAACAGCGTGAGCTGCTGTTTGTTTCTGTGAATGAAAGGCAAAGAGTTAGCAGAGTGGAGCTCATTGTGTGTTTTGGAGAGCCTCAGACGCAGCGGTGCGCTCTTACCCTCGCCGCCCTGGATGAGTAGGGGTCCTCGAACAGATTCCAGATTACCGGCTGCCACTTCCTCCACAGGCTGACATTCCCGTCGGCAGCCACGTCCTCGATGCCGAGTCTCTTCCCTATCTCGTCGTCCTCGTCTCCGTTGTCCACGTTGAGCTCGAACACGTCCAGAGCCTCCTCCGCGTCCCGGTGCTGTCGGTATGTCATCCAACAGCAGGGCTCCACGTCCGTCTCATCGATGCCCCAAAAGGAGAGCTCCTCCTCGAACAGCGGTCCGCACACATCCGCCGGGCAGTGAAGCTTGCCGGTGCGGTAGTAGTTGAGCACGTAGGCGAAGACGCCCGGGTGACGGTCGAAGAAGTACTCGTTGGTCCGCGCGTTGTACTCGATGAAGCCGGGGACTTGTTGCAGCTGATCCAGCACGGAGTCGATGTCCGAATCGGAGGCGAGCAGGGCCAGTCGCGTCCCCGGCAGCGTCTTTAAGGTGGTTTTGTAGGTCTCGTGCCTCGTCCCCCCGACGTTGAGGATTATCCTCTCGTTGTCGTCAAACTTGCCCATCGCTCTGTATCAGACATGACTTGATGAAAGCGGGGGAAGTTGGCGAGTGCAGTCTGAAGGTTTAACAGCGAGCCTGACGCGCACACACCCACAGCCCTGTTCACAAAAGCTCCGGGATTTTGGCCGCCGTGTGCAGCATCTCCGATTTCACTCACCCGTCGCTGTCGTATCTTTTGGGGGGGGCGAGGAGGACATCCATCTTTTGTTGACGGATATTTCACAGAGACATAAGGAGTCTGTTTGTATCCCGCTATCTGTTCAGTCGGCCGGTCGGTCAGTGCTGGGAGTGATGAATGATCTCAGCCGGTGGCTCCAAACAGACTGAGCTCCTCATGCCGTTGCGCGTCTCCGGCGTCCAAGACGCACAGCCGCTCGTCATCGTCGGGCTCGTTACTTAAAATGTGTAACGTGTCGACACCTTACATATTATCACATGATTAAAGTCACCCATTGTGGCACCGCCTCACTCTTTGCTTCAGAAAATCAGGACGTTGATCTGCGCCCGTCTTCCGTGCCGTCACGGTTTGGACTCGATCAAAGAATCTGAAGAGGAAATTTCCACCCAGGAAAGAAAAAGAGCCTCCAGGAGGCTCCAGTTTCAGCACAGATCGCACAGCTCGCTGTGAGTGATGGTTTAAATACTCCCATCTACGAGGACTTCATGTGTGTTCATGCAGAGGCAACACCACAGAGACACCTGTTGTAAAGGTTTGCCCATAAATGTGTGCAGATGAATGAAATACTGACCTTAAAGAAGACATCTGTCCTCCTGACAGCACATCACACGCACAGTAGCGAAAACACGTGACGCGTGTTTTAAACAATAAAGTAAGTATTAGTTTAGTCATAACGCTCAACTAAACAGGAGAATAACAGGGGCCGACACACAGACAGTAATCATGTAACCAGGGCACCGATTAAAGCTTTAGTGCGTAAAGGGCAGGCTGGGACGGAGGAGCTGATCCGTCCTCTGCCACCACAAAACCAAAACTGTGTTAACAGTGGCAGAAGAAGCAACAACAGCTGTCTCTGCATTGTACAGGTGGTGCATTACAAAATCTAGCCGGACAGAGACAATTATGGCTCAGATACTGAATAAAACCTGCATAGAAAGTGTTTGTTTACAGCAGCACTTAGTATGTTTGTAAATGAAAAGCCAAAGTAAAGACTTCACATTTATATCACACAAAGGAGCATTTTTATGTTTTTTTTTTACAAAGGACAAGAAAATCTTTGCACAATCCCGACGAAGAAACAAAGTGACCAGCGAGAAAACTGAAGGCAGTAACTTCCTTTCACAATCAGCTTAATAGGTGTCATAAAAATTGGGTTCTGTTTTTTTAATATACATTTTAAAGTGCAAATCATACTTGACAACATTCAGTGACATACAGTTATAATATAAAATTCATATTCTATAATCGTCTGGGATAACTGTGGTTGCAGATGAGCCAGTATCGTGCAACTCTGCATGTAGTTTTCTTTACTCTGATATAAAACTCTGTGTAGCATTTTCCTTTACTACTGTTATGTTCTTGATGTATTCTTTATTTATTGATGAAAGCAAACGAGGCCCTGCAGAGCTGTCTCAGACTCACCAGTCTGAGCATCCTTCCATGTCAAAACCAACACACAGAACTGGTTACCACTGCAGCTGTGTATCTGTGTGACCGATGTATCCGTTCCCATCTTCAACCTTTGAAAAAAGGAACCTCAAAGGCCTGAGACCTAACCACAGCAGCCCACTTTACTCAGGCTGCCATCGAGTCTCAGATGCGTGGAGTGGTAACATCAGTAGTACAACTTGTAACAAAAGTACCATAAAGTACTTCATGGTGTGAACAGAAGTCATAGCAGCAGTTCAAATATAAGCTGTATATGTACTTTAGTGTCAAGGTAAAGTGTTGCTTATTCACAAATTATTTGTGATGTTTTTGCATCAGGTGGCAAACATCAGTGACAAAACCAAGAACTTTCCTTTTCCTCAGTGAAACTCATTTAACAGCATTTGCGTGGTTTTCAGCCAGCAGGTTTTACAGCTGAGACGCTGCCAACCAGAGTGCACGAGCAGGAAACAGTGACATCTCTCAGCAATCCAAGCACAGCTCAATCAACAAGTAGACACAGCAGCTGATCTGTCTGTAATTACATGCATCATTATTCCCTGACGTACGGCTGTTCAGTGAAACTCTGAGTAACCGAGTTACTCTCCCTCTTCATCACATCTATAAAATCTGGGATCAGAATGAAACACAGAGTATTTTAGTGGGGCTGATGTTGGTCTCTCATTTGGTCTTGGTTAGCTTCTAACTGCACTGGCAGATAGAGAGGGAGGAAGTGGAGCGAACAGAGCTCCAACAGAGCTCTTTACGAACCCCTGTGAATGATCCCCACAGCAGCAAAACATTCAGCACACTGTAGCACATCAGTCAGACACAAACACCACAGGACAATCACACACGTTTCACCCTTCATTTCTTTATATTGTTCTGGGAAAATTGAAATAGGCCCCACTCATCGTATAATTACTACTAATTACTTACTACTTCTACTTCTACATAGTACAGGATATTCCATAGTATACTATCAAATGTTTGCAAACCTCATTTCAGGATTATGTTACCTTCAAAATCAACTTAAATAGCTGGATGACCTAAGAATAATGAATTATGACAGAATTTAATGTAATGCACCAGTTTTAAGGTGGACTTGAATTTTCAATCCTAATCAAAGGGTTAATCATGTTGAACAACTTGTGAGGAGAGAATCACACTGCTTCTAGTCAAGGTGTTTGGAGGAGCGAAGTAGTAACTGTGTTTACTGTAAAGTGTTTTAATTCATGCAAACGATCATTTCTCAGCTCAAGGGGCTTTGCAAGATTTTCTCCCTTCTTTAGGCCTGACACTTATTTTTGTCCTCTACATTCCTCAACTTTCTTTAGGACACATTGCAGCAGTTTGGGAAACACTTTGCTACTTCTGTTTTTTGCCTGTCAGATTATGTAGTCTTTGATATTTTGCATAGATTTTAAAAAAAAAAAGGGAGCAAATTATATTTTTGCAACAGGCTGCTAAAAACTAAGGTGCCCAATTTAAAATAGGTTCTTTTTATGTTGTAAACACAACTCTGGTTCATCTCTTGAGTTAGCTGTCTTTTTATATTTCAGTTATTCGGAGGTCAGTTTTAAGTAGTTCAACTACCAAAAACCAAACAAAGAATAATCCTCTGAAATGTTCAGGCACAAGGACTCAAAATGGGTGAAAAAGCAGCCAATGTCCAAAGGAAAACTTTGAAAGATTTGAGAACTACGGCTCAAGAAGACTGGCAAACAAAAAGAAATGCGGGGCACAGTACCGTACACCATATAGTGAATGTGGTTTTAGGACAGTGGGCGTCGGCTTTGCCTGGAATTCTTGTTGATCACCACCAGAGGTCGGATCAGGTCACGAACTCTTTCTGTCATAACGTTTCTCATTTTCCACAATGTGCCTTATCCCATTTCAATTAAACACAGGCGACTGAGTTCTGAATGTGGGGAGTTGAGACCCTTTAATGTTTTGCTAATGAGGCCGATCATCATATAATTTGAAGCGTCGGGCACAGCAGTGGGGTTCAGACAGTGCTTGCTGATGAACAGCCATCCCTGATGATGCAGGAAGCAAGCAGCATACAAAGCTGGAGTCTCCATCCCCTCCTTGCCAGTAATATCTTTACTAAAAATAGAGCAGCCAGATTGCTGATCTTTATCAGGAACTGGACAGTTAAAAAAACACAGGGTCCCTGGAAGGCCAGCGTCCTTCAGCTGCAGAATCCGACCTGCTCGGGGCTCGCCCCCCAGCCTCGGGGTATGGTTACAGTTTCTGTTTTCTAGCAAAGAAAATTAAAGAATTTGTTTTAATGTCTCATTTTTTCACCTGCTTTGAAAATAATCCCAGACAGACATTTTTAAGGCAACAGCAGCAGGAAGTCTCGTCTCTGAAAACACAACACTGGAATATAAAAAGGACAGTAGCAACAGAAATGTAAAGCTGAACAGTTCATAGAATACAAAATAGCACAATGGGAGTTTCAAAGAAACGACGAGGGTCGCTGTGTCGTTGAACTGGCGCCACAAAGGCAGCGGTCCAGTCAGACAGAGAGCTTTCTGCCCTTTCACTCTGAACTTTCAGTGCTGTCTGCTGCGATCATATCTGATGAAGCGCAGCACCTCTGCCTCCATCCCAAAGCTCCGACAGCACCATCCTGCTGCCTTTGAACACATCCTGGGACCAAAAGAAAACGTCTCTGTCTGAAGCCTAAAATAGAAACACTGCCATTTCAAGTGGCGCTTCAAATGATGACAACAAAATGAAGCTTGCAAGCTTGTGTTATTTCTGATGTGACACGGTGACCTGCACCGCAGGAGTGCAAAATGATCTCAGCCAAAACACCGCATGCCGTTGTCATATATCTGCTTTAACTGGTACTCGTCTTTGAGCTTTTTTAAGGCTGAGAGACTCAGGAGAGACAGAAAGGAGGAAAAAGAAGCTGACAGTTAGTTTCTAGCATGAACACATTTCCTATAATCACCTTCAGTGCACTCTTTATGCAGATCCTCACTGCTTGCTGAACATCCGTACTGTGAGTCAGGCTCAGGTTGATGAAGTGTGTAAGTCTCTAATGTTTCTGTGACAAAAGGCAGAAATTTTCATTTGAAGCAGCGTGTCTCACAAACAACGTTATCTTTACCTTCAAAACAGCTTTTATCCTGGAGGCCAAAGAACAAATATACTAAATTCATTTTTTATTTATACGTATTAATTTATGGTAATGGTAGCCAGCTTACAATTAACAGCAACTTGGGAGTCTGTATGGGAAACAGTCAGAGGTCAGTCATGCTGGAGTATTTCCTCTGTATTGTAGGAAACAGAGATGTGATCACAGGATGTAAATATGGTGAACCTAACGCTATCAGTAAGCGTGCGCGCTGCATGAAAACATAAACATCTGTCTTTACTACCAAGCAGTCACACATTCAATTATTCCCAGGTGCATTTAACTAGCAGTTAAAGGAACAGCATTAAATTATGTGGAAAAAATGAGGATGGGAGAAAAAAGCCAGAGACGCACAGCCGTCAGCTCAGGCGGTACAGAAGCACCAAATACGAACACAGCAAGAGCGACGAGGACACAAAAACTTGAATGTTTTGGAGGCTAAATGGTAAATGGATGATTCATCTTTATATTTTCTAAACTCCCAAAGGGCTCACAGTGCATTTTATGATGTTTTATGACAACATGCTGGCGTCAGCTTGTTATGGTGTCACTGGGATGTAAGACACCGTATTGAAAAGATAAGACGTGGTTGTTCAGCTCTCTCCATGCCCTTTTATACCACATACTCAATACGGTTTAGTCAGTGTCCAGATGAAATACTTAGCCAACCTAGGTACTCATGTCCCCCAAGACCCAGAATATTGCTGTGAAGTTTGAAGATGATCCATAAAAGCGTGTGTGGTCTTAAATAATCAGGCCCCATCTTATCTTAATGACCTTGTAGTACCATATCACCCTATTAGAGCACTTCACTCTCACACTGCAGGCCTACTTGT